GGGCCAGCAGTTTAAGCCTTCACTACCTTTGCACAGTTGGCGACGTGCTCACCCTCTCGTGGTTCAAGCCTCACAGGGGGCCTGGAACCAGAGCTGGCTTCTACCCGCAGACAGTTGGGCCTCTACACTGGTGCATGGCCCGGGTCAGAACCGCGCCTCGGCCCTCCTTAGGTGCTTTAGCTCTTACACAGTCAGTGCCAACGTCTACATGGTACAAAGGATGCGTCTCATCTTGGTATTTTTGTGAAAATTGCTTTGACGCCGTAGCACCTGCAGGCCACACTGGAGAAGCTACAGCCACTCGCTGTGCAGTGACTACCACCAGTCTTCCTCTGAGATGTGCAAAACTCGTCCTGGGTTCTTGGGTCGCTTTGTACTGCCTGAAGCAGCCTTTCTCAGTGTCGGCTGTGGTCGCCCTGACAGCCTCGTCCTCCCCACCCTTCCCTGCAGAGCAGCTAAGGCCATAATCAAACTGGGCTGTCCACTCCCTGCAGGCAGACTTGTGGTCTCAGAGCCCAGAGACTTTGTGACTTTGTGGCTCAAACGAGTTCTGGGGTGGGCTCTCTGACCACAGTCCTGGCACTGTCAGTGGGCCTTAGTATCTGAAGATGCTGCAGGCTCCGGGAGGGACAACTCTCCTAGGCTGGTATGAACAGAGCACAGAGAAGGGTCAGGGGCCAGGCTGGGGCCTGAGTCAGATAATCACACCTCCAGGCTTGGTGAGGGGTGGTCAGCCCACCTAGCTGGCACTGCATCACCCATGGACCAGCTTGTCAAGGCTCTGTCCTCAGCCCTGTGCCAGGACCAGAAGAGGAGGGTGGACACTCCCCAACCCCCAGGAGACAAGTATGGTCTTAGACCAGAAACTCTACCCACACCCAGCTGACTTGGTCACACTGTGAACCAGAGACCCTGTCCACCACTGACCCCTCACACTGGACCACACACCCACATCACTGAGCCAGGACTTCTCACCCCACCCCTCTGTACAGCTTTGTGGCTGCAGGATTGCAAGGCTGGGCTCAAAGAGGCTGAGGTAGGGGTGTCTGCTGTCCCCTCACCCAGCTGCCTACCTCCCTTGGTTCTTGCCATTCTAAGGCTGGGGTCCTGGCATCCAGCCAGGACCCTCACTTCTGTGCATACCACTACTGGGGCAGGATTCTCACTCCAAGGCTGGACTCTCAATCCTGAACTGAACTGGTGTGTCCCTTCTGAGTGCAGAGTCTTCTTAACCCACAGCTGGCCCTCCTGAGCCCTGTTTTCAGATGCCAGACTCTGCCATCACTGGTTGGGGCCTGGGACATCTGGACCAGGGCTCCCAAGTCAGTTTGGGGCAGTTTTCGGGGTCTTGGGCTGCATTGGTGAGAGGTGTGAGGAGGCATCTGGAATCCTGTGCCCACTCTGGAGGAGCAGGTGAACCCAGGAGTCTGGGGTGAGTAGGAGGGTCCCAGAGTGCCCAGCCTGTTGGCAGAGGATGGCTGAGAAGGCAGATTCAGAGTTGGGAATAGTAAGGCTGGGGGAAAGGGGGCTGGGAGGAAATCCAGGGGCATAGTGGGTGCAGGGTGGGGTGGGGGTGACGACAGAGTCTCTGCTGTGTAGAGTGGAGTAGTGGGTTGCAGGTGACCCCACAGGGCCCCTGGTGTGCAGAGAGGCGCAGGGATGGGGGGTTGGGGATGACTCTGGAAGGTCCCTGCTGTGCAGTGAGGTGCAGGCACTGTGAGTTGGGGAAGACTCTAGAAAGTGCCTGGAGAGCAGTAAAGTGCTGGGTGGGGCGGGTCCTGGGGTGACCCTGGAGAGTCCCTGGTGTGCAGTCAAGTGCAGGAAGGGAGGGATGAAATTTGAGGCTGTGGACTCAGCATTCCCACCCAGGGTCCTTTGAGAGATGGCAGGCCCCTGAGAGATTTCCAGGAGTGAAGAAATGCCTCTGGGTAAGGCAGAAGAAAGGCCCACTTCTTCTTCTCTGGGCCTAGGTAGTCCCCTCAGGGCCTGCAGGTCACCAGTGGACTGTCTGCACCCCGCTCTGATGTTTCCCTCCTCCCCCCAATGTAGTGCGGAGGGCCTGTCCTTCAGGCCTGTGCTAGGCCACTGTCTGTGACTCTGCCACCAGGCTGGGCGGGAACATGCCAGGCTGGTGTGTCTGTCTATCCATGAGGGGATTGGCCAGTTGAGTCATTCTGCCAGATTTAAACTGAGCAGGTTAAGCAGCAGAAATGGACAATGGAACTATCAGCGTGGTGGAAGGAGCAGATAACACAACACATGTCCTCCAGGGCCAGGGATTCCTGCATCGGTCAGGCTTAAACTACATGAGCAACAGCTACAACAGCAGAGAACCAGAGGCCTGATACAAGAGAGATATAACCTGGAACTGCTGCCCACAGAGCCAGAGTCAGGGGCCTTCTCCCAAGCCTGCTGGGGGACAGCTGGGGAAACGCCACAATTAGCAAGACTAAGACGCAGAAGAATTTAATGAAATAACATATGAGCAAGAGCCTATGGTGATGAAAGAGGAAGTTCAAGTTGCTATGAAGGAATTGGCAAAAAACAAGGCTCCAAGATTTGAAGACATACCAGTTGATTTATTTCAACAAACAGATGCTGCCCTGGATGTGCTCACTAACTTGTGCCAAGAAATCTAGAGGAAAGCCAGCTGGCTGGCTGACTGGAAAAGATCGAGATTTGTTCCCATTCCAAAGAAAGGTGACCTAACGGAGTGCGGAAATTATCAAACAATATCATTAATATCAATGCAAGCAAGATTCTGCTGAAAATTATCCAAAAACGTTTGGAACAATATGTCAACAGAGAACTGAGAGATGTGCAGGCTGGATTTAGAAGGGGTTGTGGTATTAGGGATATTATAGCTAATGTTAGATGGATCTTGGCAGAAAGCAGAGAATACCAGAAGAATGTCTATCTGTGCTTCATTGACTATGCAAAGGCTTTTGACTGTGTGGATTACAACAAGCTGTGGTTGACTCGAGAAGAATGGGAATCCCAGAACATTTGATTGTGCTAATGTGAAACCTATACTTGGAACAAGAGGCAGTAGTCAGAACAGAGCAGGGTAACACTGCATGGTTCAAAATCAAGAAGTGGGTCCATCAGGGATGTATTCTCTCTCCATACCTTTTCAATCTGTATGCAGAACAGATCATCAGAGACGCTGGACTGTATGAGGAGGAATGTGGCATCAAGATTGGAGGAAGAGTCATCAACAACCTGAGTTATGCAGATGACACAATCCTGCTTGCTGAAACTGAGGAGGACCTGAGGTGCTTGCTGCAGGTCAAGGACTGCAGTCTTCAATATGGATTGAAGCTCAACATCAAGAAAACAAAGATTCTCACCACTGGGCCAATTGGCAGCATCAGTATGGATGGTGAAGAGATTGAGATAGTTAACAATTTTAGTTTACTTGGCTCCATGGTCAACACTCTTGGTAACAGCAGCCAGGAAATCAAGAGACGAATTGCATTGGAAAGTTAGCTGAGAGGGACCTCTCAAGAGTACTGAAGAGCAACGATGTCAGTCTGGACAATAAGGTACACCTGATTCAGGCTATAGTCTTCACAATTACATGCTATGCATCGGAGAGTTGGACAGTGAATAGGGATGATAGAAAGAGAATTGACGCCTTTGAGCTGTGGTGCTGGAGAAGAGTGTTGAATATACCATGGACTGCTAGGAGAACAAACAGGTTTATCCTGGAGAGGGTAAAGTCGGAATGCTCCTTGGAGTCAAGGATTCTGAAGCTTCGTCTGACATACTTTGGGCACATTGCAAGGAGGGACTGGTCCTTGGAGAGGGACATCATGTTTGGGAGAGTGGAGGGATGGCTCAGGAGAGGAAGACCCTTGATGAGATGGATCGATTCGGTGACTGGGGTGGTGGGAATGAACGTGTCGGAGATGGCGAGGTTGGCACAGGATAGAGCAGCATTTAGGGCTCTGTACATAGGGTCGCTGTGAGTTGTAAGTGATGCGATAACACACAACAACAACAACACAACAAGAAAGCCTTGTCCACTGACCTAAAGCCCCAAGGCTGGGCCTGTGAGCATGCTTCAGATGTCATCCTGACAGGAATGGTGTCATGCTGCCAACCTGAGGTGTGACCTGTTCACTCCACGTCTAAGCCCCACAGACCTGAATGCGGTTCTGTCAAGTCTGTGTGGCTGTTGCAGTGGACTTGGACCCAGGAAGGCAGTAGGATTGGAGATGGAATTAGTCAAAGTAGGTGAGGGGGCGTGCACAGGGATACGTCCGACCTCATGGGAACTGGCTCTGTGTTGAGAATGTTGTTCTTGGGGACCGTTCCTGTCTGTGGAGTTAGTGGGGGTCAGATTCGGCCACTCTCCTACAACCCGCATTCTTTTTGCACTCATCTTCCCTTTGAGACCACCCTCTGAGCCTGCAGTAAGCCCCCATACCCAGCACCTGGGTCAAGTCTAGGTTCTGCACCCATTCCCATCACCCTCATCCCCTGCAGAGCCTCCCCAGGGTCCTCAAAGCTAGAGGTGGTGGAAAGGAGAGAAAGAAAGGTGGTAAGAATTCCCTGATCCTGACCACTTTTCCCCTCAGAGTGGTTTGGGGATTCAAACCTCCAGCGACAGAACTTCTGGGGCCTCTAAGTGCACATGCAGGCAAGCAGGAAGTGCACATTCCCTCGATGCTTGTCAGCTTCAGACAGAACTCCGCTGGGCACGTCTATTGTGAGCAAGAGGGAGGAACGCCCAGAGGCTGCTGGACGAGCACATGGGGCCCTGCTGCCTGAGCCTGTCCACCCATCACCCCACCCCCAGCGTGGCGGGAGGACACAACCAGCAGGCTCAGAGCGAGAGGCCACTTCAAGGTCTTTATTGCTACAGGGCACATGGGCTGCTGGACACCCACTAGGCTGGCGTGGGCCCCTCAGAAGGCAAGGTGGAGCACCACGTCCAGATGGTACTGTCTGCCGGGGCTGGACCGGGCCAGCCACCCCACACTTAGCCATCCCAGGGCAGGAGACACGGTCACCAGCTCAGAGTCCCAGGGCAGTACTTGTCGATGAGGCCTTGGTAGTAGGGCCACAGTTTTTCCACCTCAGGCAGATCTGGGCACTTGGTGTAGAGGTCAAACTTGCTGTTGGGGTAGAAAGTCTAAGGGCCTGCCCACTAACTCATCCTCCCGTCTCTGACCCTCTACCCAGCACCCATCTCCCCTCCCTGAGGTCCATCTCCTCTTTGATTCCCTCCCCAGGTTCATCTCCCCTCCCCATATCCAACACCCCAACCTCCTCAGGATCTGTCTCCCCTCCCTGCCTCTCCAGCCCCTAGCCGGCCGTACTTGAACTCCTGCACCCAGGGCAGCATGGCCATGTCCTGCTGGTTGCACAGCTGTTGGTAGTCTCCACCCGTGTGCCACGGGTAAAAGGAGTGGAACCGGATCATGTAGAAACCCTGGGGGCGGCATCACAGCGGGCAGGGCTGGGCCAAACTGGATCGGGGTGCGCTAGGCTAGGGTTGCCCGGGGGTGGACTGAGCAGGTGACCTGGGGTGGACTGGACTAGACTGGGCTGTTGGGCTGGGACACACTGAGGTGGGCTGGGACGTGTTGGGCTGCTGGAATGGGCTGAGCTCAGCTCCCACTCTGACATTCCTACCTCGGGTGGGAGGGAGAACTTGTTGAACTTCATCATCTGGTACATGTACTCTGAGGGAGTTGGAATGTCAGCTCAGAGCCCCTGGCCCAGGGGCTCCCCACCCTTCCCAGTCTCGCCAGCCTCACCATCATGGCCCCAGGACATGAGGACATTCTCGAGCCCACAGTGTGGCTGGTACATGCCCAGCTCTGTGCTGTAGAGAGACAGTGGTCAGGGGTCAGGGTCCAGGAGGGTCAGCACAGTGAGCTGGGGTGGACTGGACCACATGGGGTGGCTGGACTGGACCGAGTGGGTTGGACTGGGTGAGGTGAACTGGGTGAAGTGGACCACACTGGGCTGGCTGGATTAGGCTGGACTGGACTGGGCAGGCCTGGGCTGAACTGCACGGAGGTGGGACACCTGTATCGAGGATCCTGGAGATCAGGATTGTCCTGGAAAGTTGAGTCACGGAAGACCACTGAAGCCTGAGGTCTGCAGCCAACGGGGAACGTGTCTCCAACGACCGCCCACTGGGGACAGGCAGTGTGGTGAACAAGGGCCTAGGTGCCCCAAGCCCTGGCCAGGCCACAGCCCAGGTCCCAGCCCTCACCTGGGGCTCTCCAGCCAGGACCAGCACCTTCCCCAGGTCATGCAGCAACCCCACCAGGTGAAACCAGTCTGAGAGGAAACAGGGCAGGGCTGAGCTCAGGTGTGCCGGCCAGTTTTACCCATCCACCCACCGCTGCCCCAGCTGGGCAGGCACACCCTTGTCAGGATGGGCCCTGCGGATGCCCTCAGCCGTCTGGAAGGCATGGAAGGAGTTAGGGAAATCCACATCAGGATCTGACTGGTCAATCAGCTGGTCCAGCATGTCAACGGCCTCCAGGATGGTCATCTTCTTGTAGGAGAAGCTCCCGAACTGGGCATGCTAGGCAAGAGAGGGCCGTGAGCACAGTGAGGGTGTGGGGTGCATGGTGAGGGCTGGGGGTGCACGGGAGCCCATGTACCTTTCGCCTGACGAAGTCCACCGTCTGGTGTGTGTGCATGAGCTTGTAGGTGGTGAAGACTCGGTCCAGGAGTGGGCCAGACTACAGGGCCACAAGTAAGCCAGCCACCCTGTCGCACCCCACCTCCCATACCTTCACACCCAAGGCCCCCCTTCTTCCCAGGCCAGGGTCCTTGGGGGGGGGAGGGCAGACCCCTCACTCCAGGCCTGGGAATTCCCAGTGGCCCTGCTCAGAGCCAGGCACAGAGGCTCTGCCTGGACGGGATGGGGTCTGCTGAGATGGGGTCTTCCTAGACAGGGTCTGCTGGGGTCTGCCGGGATGGGACGGGGTCTTCTGGGATGGGACGGGGTCTGCCTGGATGGGACGGGGTCTGCTGGGGTCTGCCGGGATGGGACGGGGAGTGAACAGAGCCTGGGGTGCCTCACCGTGTAGTTTCGGAACTTGCCCCTGTCCTGGCTCATCTGTGGGTCCACATCTGGCGGGTAGACCAGGGCAGAGTCTCCACTCTGGGAGGAAGAACCTGCCTCAGCCTCAGGCCAGGCCATGAAAATAAGGGTACCCCAAGAACCCCTGATGGTCTCATGAAGTGAGGGCAGCCTGAGGCCCAGGGGAAGATGTTGACATAGGCCCCACCAGGACCCTCTCTCAGCCCAAGTCCTCCCTCCTGATGCCCCACCATTCCTCCTCCGTGTCCGTGTCTTCTGTTTCTGGGGAGATCGAGTGAAGGTCAGGAAGTGACCACTGCCCAGAGGACAGACCAGGACCACAGAGGGCTTGGGGTCCAGCACAGCTGACTATTGCCCTTGCTGGATCAGAATGGACAGTAGAGAGGTCTTTGTGGAAGGAATGGGGGCAGTGGAAAGAAGTGGTGTGGGGGCAGGGTGCTGTCCCCTTCGAGGCACTGGCTGGCCTCAGCCAGATGGTAACTTCTGCACAGGACCTTCCAACACTCACCATAGCCATCTTCGTTCTGAGCTGGAAAAGCACACAGTTGGCCAAGAGCTCCAGGCAGGGTTATATATGCTGGTGGGTTATGTAAGTCACAGGGCTGCAAGGCCCCTTGACCTCAGTCCTCAGTAATAAGTTACCATCACCTCCCCACCCCCATTTCAGTGAGTTAATGTGTCTGTCCAAGAGCAACCCCCAGGGGCCTCAGCCCCTCCCTGAGCCCTGTATTCCCCCTCCCGAGCACATGGCCATCCTGAAGCTGGCTGTGGGCCTGATGCCCTCACCTAGGGCTGTCCACACTTGACTCCCTGCGTCCAGGGCAGCACAGCCAGTTCTGCTCGCAGTGGCCTCCACAGGGTGTCACAGAGTTGAGCCAAAGGCTTGGACATGTCAGGCCCAGACCAAGGCCAAAGGAAGAACTAAGGATTCAAATAATATCAACATGTCACAGAATACTGAATGACTCGAGGATGATTGTATGAAACAATGTGAATGAAGAAGCATGTGAAACACAATGTATACAAAGTTTGTAAGCAAACCAATTAAAAAGAAATCAAAAGGCAAAAAAAAACCCAACCAACCCCAACACCCCACAACAACCAACAACAAAGAATATCAACATGTCAACAAAGGGAATGAACAGCCTTGCCCATCTGACTAAACTACCAAAGAGTGCTCCTTCCTTCCCTCTCTAGAAGACCACCCACCTGGCTAAACCACAATGGAATGTCCCTCCCTCCCCTCCCTGAAGACCCTCACTATAATACTGGCCCTAATCTACCTTCTGGGAATCCCAGAACACTTGATTGTGCTTGTTTGAAACTTACACTTGGACCAGGAGGTGGCTGCCAGAACAGAGCAAGGTAACCCTACATGGTTCAAAGTTGGGAAGGGTGTGTGTCAAGTGTGTATCCTGTCTCCATACCTTTTCAATCTATATGCAGAACAGATTATCTGGGAGGCTGCCCTCTATGAGAAGAAGTGTGGCATCAGGATTGGAGATGACACAACCCTGCTTGCTGAAACTGAGGAGGACCTGAAATGCTTACTGTGGAAGGTCAAGGACTGCAGCCTTCAATATGCATTGAGGCTCAATGTCAAGAAGACAAAGATTCTCACCACTGGGCCAATTGGCAGCGTCAGGATGGATGGTGAAGAGATTGAGATTGCTCACAGCTTCAGTTTGCTTGGCTCTACAATCAACACTCTTGGTACCAGCAGTCAGGAAATTAAAAGACGGATTACACTGGGAAAGTCTGCTGTCAGAGAACTCTCTAAGGTACTGAGGAGCAAAAACGTCAGTCTGGAGACAAAGGTGTGATACAGGCCATGGTCCTTGCCATTACTTGCTATGCTTCAGAGAGCTGGACAATAACTAGGGATGATAGAAGGAGAATTGGTGCCTTTGAGCTGTGGTGCTGAAGGAGAGTGTTGAGTATACCATGGACTGCTAGGAGAACAAACAGGTTTGTCCTGGAAAGTGTGAAGCCAGGCTGCTCCTTGGAAGTAAGGACTCTGAAGCTTCATCTAACATACTTTGGACATGTTGCAAGGAGGGACCAGTCCTTGGAGAAGGACATCATGCTTGGGAGGGTGGAGGGACAGCGCAGGAGAGGAAGACCCTCGATGAGATGGATTGATTCCATCTCTAGGGTAATCAGGATAGGTGTGTCAGAGACAGTAAGATTGGCAAGGAATAGAGCAAGGTTTAGGGCTGTTGTACTTAGGGTCGCTATGACCATAACAACAATTCACCTTAGGGTGTGGTATTTCCCTGGTCTGTGCCTCTGCCTGTCTCTGTCTAGACCAAGGGATCCCGCCTGGGAGACCCCTTGATAAAGCATCCTTTCTTTCTCTGGTCCCTTCCTTGAGTCCTTGGCCTTACGTCCAGTGTGAAGACCTAACGGTACGGGCTTTGGGGTGAGAGTGTCCTTAGAATCAGGGCCAAGGAAGGATCCTAGGTCTAGATCCTGGGGGCCGGACATGGGTATTAAGAGACCAGGGGTGGATCCTGGGGACCAGGGATGGATCAAGGGTATAGCAGATACCCAAGAATCCAATATACAAGATCAACCCTCAGGTGTTCTGGACAAGGCTAGGATCAGGCCAAGTGGAGCTTGGGGACGTCTCAGGACATTCCTTCCCCAGCACGGCCCAGTGGGGCGATGGGTCACCCAGGTCTTATGTGTGGAACTCCTGCTTTGATGCTCTCTTGGAGGGAGATGCCAGCAGCAGTGTATGGCCGGCCTCTTGTCTTCCAGGTTTCCTGTGGTCACTGTGCTTGAAATTGGCCTAGCTCCACAGGTCCTCACCTCCTGTCTGGATGCTAGACACCCTGACATGGGCTTGACCCATTTGCGATCTCTCTGTCCCCTCCCTAGCATGAGCTCCTAGCCCACAGGATGAGTGCTCTGCAGCTCTCCTGGCACCACCAAGGCCCCCTGAAGATCTGGAGATGAGACCCCAGGAAGGCCAGGTGATCTCAGAATTCAGATTGATTTCAACCAGAACTAAGTAACCAGGCAGACCAGAATCCGTGCTATCTTCGAAGTGGGGCCCACAGGACTAGATGGGGCATGAGCTGGGGTGGGGTACGTTCTGGGAAATGCAGAGCCGGAGTGTCTGTGGGCCCTGCATAGGGACCAGGTGGAGTCCTGGAGGACAGGGTGACGGTGACAGGAACAGGGTCCACTTCATGGACACACAACCAAGGCTCCGCAGGCGGGACTGAGCCCTGACCCCCACATGCCAAAGGAAGCAGCTTACACACGTGCTGACACGGGCACAGACCTGTGTCAGTGGATGGTGTCCTGGAAGGCGGAGCATGAGTTGACTGGACACAAGCCATGGACATCAGGTGTTCCCAGGAGAGGCTCGAGGCTGGACTTTATCCTTAGACCCAGGGAACCAGGAACATCTTGGCTGAGCTGAGCTGTGGACGCTCCCCACCTGACTCCCCAGTCTACTCCCGCTCCTGCTGGACTCTGCCTCTGGTCTACCCTGCCCTGTCCACTGCCCGCCTACATTGTCACATGGGACAACTTGTCTGCTCCTCTCCCCATCTAAGACCCTGCCTGCCTCTCGGAAACTCCTCAGTGACCACAGTGCATGTGGATGAGGCCAGGCCACAACCCTCAGCCTTAGCCCTAGCCCCTGCCCCTCAGCCCATGAGCCTAAATCCAGTCCTCACCAGTCAGCCTCTTTGGGCCCCCACCAAGCTCCTCAGCCCTGCCCCTTAACATTCCCCCCCAG